GTATTCTCCCATGTCAAAGTGTGTCTTTGGCCTATGTAATTCCATATTTCCTTAAAGCTGTTAACTATTGTCAGATCTGCTTTTCTAGGGAATCAGGATCACCTACAGAGTATAAAGGTAAGGAGCACACCTGCTCAATTTTTATCCCAGTCATTTTCATCCTGGCATCCTGGGCCTAGGTGTGGTGACAGAGGCACTGATCCTTCATTAATTAACAAAGCATCTTACATTATAAGTTCACATTTAGAGATAGGCTGCCCTGTTCCTGCAAAGCTATAAGAATGCCATGCCAGAATTCTATCAATTTTCCACACACAAAAAAATCTTTTATTTCCTAGGAGCATGAGCTTGAGAGATCTAAATAACCTAGGTAACACACACACACACATACACACACACACACACACACACACACACACACACACCAGTTTTCAAGAACCCACAGTATGCTGGTCTACCATTTGGCACTATGTACAACTTTAGCAATTTGAATGTCTTCACAATTTCATAGCCAAAAGATGAGCACTCAACAGATATCAATGAAGTAACCTCACTTCTATGGACCCAGTTTCCTCAATCGCAAAAGGACAGAGTTTCCAGAGCCCTTTAAAGCTCTACCATGCTATGATTCTGTGAGTCAAGACTGGAATTCTAAGTATATCCAGAATATATTATTTTGACAACATTTACTGATCTCTTACTCTAATGGAGGTCACTACAGGGAGCTACCAACATAGGCAATAACTGACCCTGAAAGAGTTTGCCTCTAGCTGTGCAGGATAAATGAAAAGTATAATCACAATAGAATTGAAAAAAAATCAGCCAGGCTGGGCACGGTGGCATAGGCCTATAATTCCAGCGCTCAGGAGGTTGAGGCAGGAGGATCAGGAGCTCAAGGTCATCCTCAGCTACATAATGAGCTCAAAGCCATACTGAGCTATATGAGACCCCCATCTCAAAAAATGGTTTGTTTGGTTTTGGGGGGTCTTTTTAAGACAGGGTGTCCCTGTAGCCCCAGCTGGCCTGGAACTCGCTATGTAGACCATGCTGGCCTCCAACTCACAGAGATCTGCCTGCCTCTGCCTCCCAAGTGGTGGGATCAAGGTGTACACCACCACACCCAGCTAAAATGTTTTCAAATGAATTTAGAAAACAGGCATGGTGGCACACACCTTTAATCCCAGCACTGAGGAAGCAGAGGCACACAGATCTCTGAGATAGAGGCCAGTCTGGTCTACACAGCGAGCTCCAGGCCAGCTAGAGCCACAGGGAGGTCCTGTCTCAAAACAACAACAACAAAAGAATTCAGAAAAGTAAGAAATGTTATATGATTATTTGGTACGATAAGTGGTGTGTACAATTAAAAGAGCTTGAAGAGGAGGTAAATCTGGATATGCCAAGAGGAGACAATTACTAAGCAGTATTAGAAGGCTCTTTTCCAGTTTATCCAATTCAGTGAGTTCTCTTCTAATATGCACATCAAAAGTACCCAGGGGGCCCAGTCTGACAGAAACTGGTCTCACAGTGCCTTGATACAATTTCCTCCATATACAGCACACAGAGAGCATAAACACTAATCATAGCCACAAGCTGCTTCTGTTTAGGGGTCAAGAGTCACACAGTCATTCTTGCTAGGCGAAAAGTCTGGGGACCTTGGTCCCCCTAGACGTCTGGTCACAAAGTTAAAGTAAAAGCTAAGAAGTTGATTCCAGAAGACAGTGTGCTTGATCTTTTCATGTTGTGAGGAAGCTGAGTTTAGCCAAATACAATAGTTTTTCAGTAGCTGGACAGCTCACAGGTTGTTGGGGTGGCTTAGCTATAGTATCCTGACATAAACAGGACTGGGTTTGAGCAGAAAGCCTTAGATACAGTTCCTTGTGCTAAAAGCTGACACTGGCATCCACACTCCCATTTCCTAAATACCTCACCCTCAGAATTAATTAGGAAATCCTTTTTCTTTAAGCAGTTTACAATTTTACTTTTACATTTAAATGTATTTACCATGAATACAACTATATTTAAATATAGCTACTTACTGGTAATCTATACTCTCCCTTTGTGCATATTTGACCTTCTCCGACAGACACAGAGTTATACAGAATTTTAGAGTTGTGGGAGGTTTAGTGACTACATCCTGAATTTCCAGTCTGTGGCAGCAACCCTGAGGGATGGCTTCCTAACTTCTTCAGGAACACTTCTAACAATTTGGAACTCACTGCTCCCAGGTGAAAGATCTTCTCTTTGGTTGGTCCACTGAGAATTACAGATCTCTTCTTCAAAAACTCTTGAGTTGTAAAGGCAAAATCTCAAAGTACAAGGCTATTGATTGGCACTAGTACTAACACTCTTTTTCCTTAAGGGGCACCCACATGCCTGATCAGACTTCTCAAGTCATCTGTCTGACCTTCAGCTATGCCAAACGCAGTCATAAATCTACTCTCACTTGTTCCTAAGCACCTGCTGCAAGTAAGACTCAGTACATAAAAAGCGCATCCAGATGTGTCCCAAGATTTGAATTATCTTCCTGAAAGGCAAAAATGCAACAGCCAGAACACGTGGAATTTATACCTGTGGACAATTTAAGAATGAAAATAGACAACAATTAGTCTATTCAAATCCCCTCCTCGCCTATCATTTCTCAGCCTTTTGGCTAAGATCAAGTGTACTATGAAGTGCCCTCACCTGCCTGAAGGCAGGAGGCTAGATCATCTGGTTTCTTGAGGTCTCATTAAGTCTTATTACGAACATTGGAGCCTCTACTCTGTTCCCCCATACCTACCCTCCACTATTTGGCTGAAAGCAAATTATAGACTAGTCAAACAGAAAGGGAGGTTTAATTCCTCTTAGGCATGTTGTTGTGCCTGTCACTGGATAGGCACACAGAGGCCACCCTTTAGATTATCTATGTGTCTACATATGACAGATGAACAGACACACACACACACACATTCACAAACACAAACACAGATTCCACCATTTTCATTAAAAAGCAATCATCTCCAGAGTCCTCTCTTTTTAGTCAGATTCGCACTTCCCCATTCCACTCCTAAGCTACCACGTTTACTTCCTTCTCCTTCCCCTCCCCCAGCCTTACTTTCGAAATATTTACTCTTTCAAACAGATAGCTGGAACTTGGAGCAGGTTTACAAACAACCTCACTCTTCATATCTGCAGGAAAACCCCAAGAAATAATTTTGAGCAGGGAGAATCATCTTGGAAGAAAACTTAACCTGCCTCTGTGAAACAGTAGGTTGACTAATTATAAGCTTCATCCCATGGGCAGTTTTCTTCAAAGGCCTGCTGGAGCCTAAGTGGAACAGATCCAAGTCACAGTCTCTCTAAGGCTCCCAGATACAAAAACAGCCCAAAAGCCATAGCTCCAAAGCCCATGTTCCTCCGACCACACCAGAGGTTTCCTGGGCCCAGAACGATCTACTCCCTCAGATCCTAGAAACAAGTCTCTGTCATGAAAAATTCCAATCATAAACATTCCATTGCAGAGATGGGGGAACAAAAGCCACAAAGGAAAAGGAGAATTACAGCAGAGCTCAACTTTACACTTCCATCAAGAAGAAAAGCAGGACTGAAGCAAGGAAAGCTAGGAAAGAAGGACGAGCCGGAGGAAAACAAACTGTTCAGTGTTATACATAACCTGCCTGACTGCACATGCTCACTTCTACCACACACAAGCACGTGGTGCATGCACACAAGCTCGCACACACACTGAGCTGTAAAACTCAGAATGGAAAACAGCTAACAAGCCTTCAGCAACCTGCCCAACTTCACAGAAAAACTCCATAAAGTTGGCCACGGCAGCAACAAAAAGACCTTTAGCAAAGAGTTATCTGATCTTACTTTATCAGTCCTACTATAAATTAGAACCCCTCTTCCCTGGGCTGTTACTCAAGCAAGTTACACTCATCAAAAAGTCCAGCAAATCAGTCCCCAAATCACTCTGGGATGCACAAGGAAAGCCTATAGCCCTTAGAGAAAGACAAAAGTGGGACTCAAGGGACTGAAGCTCACTTTAATTACCTATGCAATTTGGCCAAGAAGCCCCCTTGGCATCTGCCAGCCACACCCCTCCACGGGAACTCTATTTCCAAGTCATCCATGAACACAAGCCATGGCAGGCTTGCATCAGGTGTGGCCTCAGTAGACACGTACACCTCATGTTTCCTCAAGGTCCTCCTTACTACACTAATCCCAAAACAATTAGCCCTGTTCCCATCCCTAGAGTTTAGAATCATTCTCAGCATACCCAGCGGTCATGCCACAGAGTACTAGACTCCAACTGGCCACCTCCCTAGAGCAGTGACCTACACAAACTTCAAACAGTGGCTCTGGAACTGGCTATGTAGACCGAGCTGGCCTTGAACTCACAGAAATCCACTGGCCTCTGCCTCCCGAGTGCTGGGATTAAATGTGTGTGCCACCACGCCCAGCTCTACACTGAATGATTTTGAGGTGGGAAAGAGCAACTCAATTTCCAAAAGCACCTACATTGCATGCCCTCAGTTCCTTTGTGATACAGCTGATTCTGGAACCAATCTTCAAGTTCCCAATTCAGTTGGCTTTGAACTTAACAGCTAAATTAGAACTAGGGTTTACAGAAATAGGACCCAGAATAGCAGATTAAGTGGATATTGTTGAGTGGTGTTTTAACAATAAGGGTTACTCCCAGATTTGGGAGGGGCAGACAAGAAGCAATTTGTCACTAAGCTCCTGTCAATGAAAGGAGGTGAATAATTAACACAGGCTCCCTCGTTTTTTTTCACAGATAACCCCATTGTTAGTGCAAAGTTCTTGGTCTTTTTAGGAAGTATACATTCTGCTATAACCACAAGAGCACTGAATTCAATAAATGAAACAACCTATAGTCATTGTTCAATAAAATAATAAAATCATACAAGGATCAGCTACAAACTTCCAGGAAAGATGGTTCATCCCTTGGGCCCAAAGTAACCATAATCAGGCAACTCTACTCAATGGAAACTTACTCAAAAGCAAAGAAGAGTGTACATGTCCCCAGGATGAGGAAGAGGGTCAAGTAGAAGATGCCCTTTTGCCGGGCCATCATGACCCGGCCATCACAGCAGAAGGTGTTCCTGCCTGGGAGTTTCTCCCATTTCCGTGTCACCTTCTTTCTTACCACCATCACAGACATGATTGGAGTTCCCGGTTCAAAACACGCTTGGTGACTACACAGGAGAAGAAACAGAGGCTGAGCCTAGCTTTGAAATCACGTCGCCTTCTATTGTTGCCACGGGGTCAAACATCATCAAAAATCCAATTTTTAGCCCTAGGAAAAAGCAAAAGGAAATAAAAAAAAAAGAGGTAAGAATAGAAAATACAATTGAATTCTTATTTCCCAGGGTCAAAAATAACAAAAAATACACTATTTATACCTAGAAAAAAAAAAAAAAAAATAAAAAAAAAAAAAGAGGTAAGAATAGAAAATACAATTGAATTCTTATTTCCCAGAAACAGAGGAATACTGCCTGAAGGAGTGGGGGGATAGGGAAGTGGGAAAATTTTATTTCTAATCTGTATTTGGCCCCTAAAGGGGGAAGCAATAAATGATTCTCCAAAAAGAAGGGGGCTATTAGTACTTCTTCAATAATAAACCCTGTTTCCAAAGTAATGCTGACTTGATTAATCATAGAACCTTGAAAGTAGAAGGGATTCTATAAGTGTCATCTCAATTACTTTACAAATAATTAAACTGAGGCCAGAGACAGGAAATAACATATTCAAAACCACACAGCAACAAAGCAGAGACAAAAAAAAAAAAAAAACACACCCACTGACTTCCAGTCGTGGGCACTTTCCACTACACCACAATATTCTTTGGTCTTCATTAAGAGGTCTGTAAGAATAACAGTGGAGGTTTTGTCCTTAGGTACCCCTTCCCTCCTGTTCCACTTCTGCACCTTCTTGCTTCAAAAATATAAATCACATCAGGGAGCCCTCTGGCAGGGCTAGGAGGTACTGGGCATTCCATACACTCGCAAACGTTGTATTTACACAAAACAGATTTCCCCTAATCAAACCTTCTGTAACTTCCTGAGTCTGCAAATGAAACAGTCTTGCTGGGCTAGCCTACCATTTGCGGGACTCTTAATCAAACCACATCATAAGCAGGAGAGATGCTGGAATGGTTGGCGGTCGATGCTTGGGGAGGTTGGGGGAGGCGGCGGGGGGGCGGTGGCAGCAGCTAAGACAAGTCCTAAGGGGGCTTTCTGGGACATTTCACGAGTACCATCTCTACTCAGCATCTCATGAATTCCCAGGCCTAGCTTTTCCCAGTCACTGTCATCCCCTCTTCCTCTCAGGTGTGGGGCTGTGCCCTCTATTTACTGGCACCACATATCCCAAGCTGGCAAGAATAAGGCGGAAGCCTGATGAGCAAGAAACAACCAACCCGAGATCATTCCGGACTGGAGAGGGCAAAGGTCCAAAAGAGGACGAAGAGCTGAGCAGCAAAATGAGAAGGTGTACGGCTTTGAAAAGGGGAAGGGGGCCCAGAGGTGCAGAGATCACTTCCTTTGTGTAAAACTAACCTGGCAAACAATCCCCTCCTCTGAAACCGACTCAGCGCGAGAACACAGACCAGGAAAGCGAGCCCAGCCCAGGAGAACACGAATGAAAATCTGTCGGAGAGCAGTGATAGGAAAGCAGTGACCGCTCCAGTCAGCAGCCCAGAGCCAGAGGCCGAGTCCAGGGCCCGGCCGCGAGCGCGACATCTGGAGGCCCGCCCTGCCTCCGCCACGCAGCCGACCACCGCCCCAGGCTGCTTAGGACGCGCGCCACCTCCACACGCACACGCAGCCACACGCTCGTACACACACACACACACGCCCCGCCACGTGTAGTCACCCCGGGCCAGGGGCTCGGCAGCTGGCGAGTTGAAAAGGGCGGTGCCAACGTCCCCCGGTGCCGGCGCAGCGGAAAGGGGACGCAGCCCTCCAGACAGCTGAGCCCAGGAGACCCCACCCCCCACCCCCACGCCCTGTTACCTGAACGCGGGAGAGCAAACTCCCGCCGCGGCTGAGGGCAGAAAGTGCACTGTCCCGCCACCCCCCTCAACGGATCGTGTCGGCCGCCTAGGGTGTCAGCGACTGCTCCTCCCTGACAGCAGGCTGCCTCCTCCTGACAAGGGGCCCCAATAATCGGGGCCCTAAACCAGCTGTGGCAACCGCCCACCGCTGGCGGAATGGAACGCTCCTCACGTCACCAGGTCGCTCCAGTAGTTGCTCGTCCCACATTGGCTAAAAGGCCTCAGCGCTCGGGTCCGTACCGCCCCTGCCGGGTTCTGCCACTGGCTACTTCTAACGCTACTCCAGGATAACTCCGCCCACTCCCCCACCCAGCTCCTTGCTACAAGCCCACCTGCCAAGCCGTTCGCCGCCGCCAGCCTCTTCTTGGGGCCCGAGCACCAGTCTGTGAAGTGTTTCCTTCTATTAATATAGTCACGCAAACACCGAGGCAAAGGGTGGTGTGGACCCGGCAGGGGAGGAGCGATGAGCCGCCTCCCCCCACATACACACAGCGTGAGATGCTGAAGCAGTATCAGCTTACAGATCTGGATGCTCACCCAGAATTAGGTCTGCCCTGGACCTCTCTGATGCTGTTTGCCTTAAATCAACCACGTACTGTTTATAAGCATAAATACGAGTCCTCTGCCTCCCAAGTCCTATTCATGAGCCAGGGACCCCACCTGCAATCCCTAAGGCTTTGGAAGAAAACATAAAAAGGAAAATGAAAAGAATAACCATAGCTGAGAACATCATTTTGCAATATCAAAAGCAAATAATTGACATTAACGGAGTTAGAGAAACTCCACTGAGATAATGGAAATACTTCCAGATAGATAATGAGATAAAGATTCCCGAAAAGGTTGTAAATTTCTGTTAGAATTGGAGATCTTATGGTAATTACAGAAGGGCATCCAAGGCAGTATTTTCACCCATCAACCAGATTGGTTCTTTCCTCTGAAATCCTCCTCTTATGAGTCATTGCTATCAATTGTACTGAGTAACACCATTTAGATGTTTGAGACTGGAGCGGGGAAAATAGTTGAGAATTACAGTATTATATGATGGGTGAATATTACATGACACTAGGTCTGTTTCCACCAGTATGGCTGGCTCCTGCCTTACAAATAATATGAAGAATGATTCAAGTGGCCTCTCTCTACATGCCACACTGTTGGGACAGAGTGTTTATGGTACCAGCCTATGTTTTCCTGAGCTTGACCAAAGTTTCTTTAGGGTCATAGGAGTTGGAATTAGTACAGAAACAGCTGCCAAAGCTCTTCCAAAGGCAGTATTGTGATAATTTTAATGAAGGACCACAAGAACTATGTCTCCTTTATAGTACTTTGGTCCCATAAAATATGAAACAAAAATCTATATAATGATAATTACATCTGACACGTTGAATGCACCTTTCAATCAAAAATTTTAAAGCACTTAAAAATAATGACCTAATTGTCTTACAATAAAGATATATTAATTAATTTGTAGTGGAAAATATGTCTATAAAGTTACTATTGTTCCCGAGCCCTCATTCTGATTATAATCATTGGTTTATTCTTTATGAAGTGTATGATCAGTATTATAGCCTCCAATTCCACCCTCTTCGAATCCTGGAGGGTGTTGGTGTTGTTACACATTTGGCATGTAAGGAAGAGGAATTTATCTTGGCCCCATCAGCTCTCTGAATTCCCAAACCTGTGTATGTGAGATGCCCTTAGGAAAAGCATGGTCAACCCAGCTGCCTTTCTTCTACATGTGGAGCAATCAAGATGAAGCCACCACAGTACCCAAACATACCATGTTCATAGTTCAGGTACAGGTGAAGCCTGGGAAGTTCTGGAATGAACATATCATGGCAACACATTCCTGAACTCTGCCCCTCCCTGATCTGGGTCACATTCCCTCTGGGATTAAGTGGTTTTGTTAGTCAGACTTGTTTTATTGCAGTTTGGTATTAGTTTGGCTCACTACTAAAAGAGAATTAAGAAAATTTTATTTGGACAAATATTCCATAGTGCTTCTTTATACACAATTATATCTACACATTTTATGTAATACTTAAAGTCTTAATAAAACTATAAACTGAAATTGGTTTTTCCTTTCTTGTTCTCTTTTTCTTTTCTTTTCTTCCCTTTTCTATTTTTAACAAACTTTCTACTGCATGCATCCAAATCAGTAATGGTTCTCTTGAAAGGAAGTTATAATCATCCAATGAGCACTGCAAACACCACTAGAATCAAAGTGAAGAATTCCGTTTTATAAGATAGCTCGTGATATAGTGGCATATATTCTGTTGTGCTGTGATTTTCGATTTTTTTTCTCCATCTCCATATTTATGGTGTGTGTGTGTGTGTGTATGTGTGTGTGTATGAGTGTGTGTGTGTAGGTATGTAGGTGTAGGTATAAAGTCTGTGTTTGTGTAGGTAGGTAGGTGTAGCTATAAAGTGTGTGTGTGAGTGTGTGTGTGTGTGTGTGTGTGTATGTGTGTGTGTATGAGTGTGTGTGTGTAGGTATGTAGGTGTAGGTATAAAGTCTGTGTTTGTGTAGGTAGGTAGGTGTAGCTATAAAGTGTGTGTGTGAGTGTGTGTGTGTGTGTGTGTGTGTCTGTGTAGGTAGGTGTAGGTATAAAGTGTGTGCGTGTGTGTATGTGTGTGTGTGTGTGTAGGTAGGTAGGTGTAGGTATAAAGTGTGTGTGTGTAGGTAGGTAGGTAGGTGTAAATATAAAGTGTGTGTGTGTCTGTGTGTGTGTAGGTAGGTAGGTGTAGGTATAAAGTGTGTGCATGTGGGGGGGGTAGGTAGGTAGATAGGTAGATAGGTGTAGGTATAAAGTCATGTTGAAGGGACTCGGTTCTTAAATGCCGGCACTGGATTGGACTTTGCCTGTCAATGTTGTTCTAGAGACCATTCAGTACCATATCCCAAAACAGGCACATCAAATCAGTCCCTAGCCTGCATTTGAGCCCTCAATGCCCCCCTTCTCTGTTTTCTCTATCCTCAATCCTCAAACACAACCCGTACATGTTCCTCTTCTCACTCCACCTACCTGACTTACATTCCTCTCCCTACTCTCTGGCTATAAATAAAGTATATATTTGTAGAATGAATTGATGAGTAAACAAATCATGGAATGCCCTGCCCACACATGACCAGCTAAAGTTACTAAGCAAGATCTGCTTCTCCGAGGAAAGATGGTATGCAGCATAGGTATAAAGAACCTAAGTGTTATGGCCAAACAGACCTAGGCTCAAATTCTGGCTCTGCTACTTAATACCTGGGGTAACCCTTGGAGAGCAATGAATTCATTCTGAGCCAATTTTCTCACCTGTGAAGTAAAGCTAATACAGGTGTCCTTCCAAATCAAGGAACTGCAGCTTAAAAAAAATATTTCAGGAAAAAATTGTGCCTCTACTGAACATGTAGAAACATTTTTTTCCTGACATTATTCCCCCAAACAACACAATATAATACATTTGCGTGGTATTTATAATGTATTCAATATTGTAATGTATCTAGAGACGATTTCAAGTATGTGGGAGGAAGTCCATAGGCTATATGTAAGTACTAATTCTACAGGAAATATTTGAACATCCATGGACTTTCATAGTTATGAGAGTCCTAGAACAAATCCCCTGTGGATAGCAAGGGACAACTGTACCCTCTTCACAGAGATATAAAAGGACATTAGAAATAATGTGTACTAAATGTTTGGCATGTAGAGCAGCACAGTCCATGCTGAATGTTAGAGTCATATCCATGCAACTGCCATCTTCTACCTCCTTCTTTGAAACCATGCTGATAAGTAGGGCTAGAGAGGTAAGAAGAATGAGACTCATTCTTCACTTTTTAGACTCCATGTCATCCATGTCCCATCATGTGTTCTCGCCTCTAAATTCACCACTGAATTTAATCCTTGTCTGATTGGTTACTTGTTTTCCATATCCCTCACTTCACTCTCACTGGGAAAAGCTTGACCAATAATCTTATTCTAGCCAAACAGTTGCTCTTTATTTAAAACCATCTTCTCAATGAACCCTCAACACTGCTGTCATAACCTCTGTTTCAACAGGTAAGAGAGAAACAGAACGCTTTCATCAAGCACCTTCTGTGTTCACAGCTCTACACTTGGATTGTTAGCTCTTCTCTGAGAGTAAACAGCACCATTAAGATGCCCACACATGAAAGCCGAACATACAAAAAACCAATAAAAACTGCTTGAGGTATCAGAGAAAGTCTTCGCCATAATGCAGTTGAGCCTCTATTTCAGGTTCCAGAAACTGAGCTCTGCTTCCCCCATTTTTCTTGCTGTTTCTGTGGGTTGTTTTGTTTTGTTTTCTTTATTTATTTTTTTTTGTCTTTTTGAGACAGGGTCTCCTTGTAGCTCCAGCTGTCCTGGAACTCACTATGTAGACCAGGCTGGCCTCGAACTCACAAAGATCCACCTGCCTCTGCCTCCCAAGTGCTGGGATTAAAGGTGTGCACCACCACGCCTGGCATTTGTTTTTCTTTTTTACACAGGCTGGACCCAAACTTTTGATTCTCCTGCCTTAGCCTGTCAAATACCAGGATTACAGCCTACACCACCATCCCCAGCCTCCAAGACCCTGTTTCACTTCTGTCCCTGGCTGATTCTGCTGGTTCCCAATTGCTTTCATCTCTGTACTGTGGATTTCTGACTTTACCTAGAATGGTTTTAGGTGCTATTCTAGAGCCCTCAACTCTGTTCCTAGGACTACCCTCTCATTAAACAAGAATCACAACAGCAAAATAGAAATCTTCTATTAAGGAACTTCTCTGAGACAGGAATTGTGCTAGGTTCTTTATACAGATAAATTTCCCAGATTAGGGTCTAAACGTGTCCAAGTGAAAGCAACTGATACTCACTTGGCACATCCCTAGTCTCTGACTGTGCTCAGCCCTCTCATTCCAGGAGCTGACCTCAAAACATTGTGTAGTCCACAAATATAAACTGGTTTATCAGTCAGTCATCAGGTATGTATTGAGCACCTATGGTTTGCCCAGCGTGAATTAAGAACTGTGGAAAATGTCAAAGAGGTGTAAGGCATGATCCTGGCCTCCAGGGAACTTAAAATATTCGAAGGGAGAAAATACTAGTACCTATGCTGTCATTAAAGATAAATGCTAAATAGTGCAGAGTCAAATTCTCAACTACACAAAGCTGAGCCTCCAATTAAGGAAAGCTTGACTCAA